ACTTACTAAATGCCACATGCTGTGATTGCTTTGTCTATATTATTTAATCATTAAGACAGTCTAGTACTATTCCCCACTTTCCTGAGAATGAAACGAGCTTTGAGGGGTTAAAATACCTCACCAAAAATCATCTATTAAGTACACTGCAAAGTCTACATTTGAATCCAAGTTTAGACCCCACACAAAGATTTGCTGAACAAATCAATAGAGAAATTTGTTTTAAAAAACTTCTTGCAACGTATTAATATCAAAACAGTCTGGTCCAAACTAACCAGATATGCAATTGATACTGGTAACACCCATTAACTCATAAATTATGAACAATGGCAGGCAAATAGCTTTAAGGCCCAAAGATTTAATGGCTTCAGATCTTTTCATTCCACTACCAGTACTTTAACCCTAAATGTGATTAATTCAACTGGCAGGACATACAGAGAGATTATACAGCAATAATCTAGAATCTGGAATGCTAGCCAAACTCTGTTGAGATAATGCGATTTGTGGCTTAGGACTATGAAAAGTTAATGTTCAAAACAAAAATTTTCCAGTCGAGTGACAGGCAGAGTAGCAGTGATGATAACAACAGGTTAAGTGCATGGAAGAAAGCTCACTTTGAAACAGGAGGAATCTGAATGATAACATGACATCGAAGTAAGGATGCCTAGTAGGCAGTCAGATACTTAGGATTAAAAACCAAAGCATAGATATGACAGCAGTTGAAGCTGTAAGAATGAATAAACTCTCCAAGAGAGTGAAGAGAAAGAAAAATATTATAGGCCAATGACAGAGGCTAAGAGAAAAAGAAATCAGCAATGAAAAGATGAAAAACACTGGGTCAAGCATCCAGGAAAAGAGAATTAAAGAAGAAAAGCTCAAAAACTAACACCTGATACTTAGATTTGCCTTCTACATTCTAAAAAACTAACTAGCCCTGGCTGAGTAGCTCAACTAGTTACAGAGCGGCGTTCCCTTACACCAAGGTTGTGGGTTCGATCCTTGGTTAAGGCACATACAAGACTCAATCAATTAAGGCATAAATAAGTGAAACTACAAATTGATGTCTGTTTCTCTCTCTGAAAGTCAATAAAAAATAAAATGTTTTAAAAAGCTAATAAAATATGGTAGCAACAAATAGGTACAAAGGACAGCAGTGTTAGAGCTCAGTATGCACTGTTCAACTAATATTGGTTCCCTTCCCTCCTTTCTACCCACCCATTGCTACACCTCAACCAGCTAAACAAAAACCAGAAAAAAGGTCATACTCTTAACTAGCATCCTGCAGGAGTTTGTTAAACATCCTACAGGCAAGATAGCTGTATTTTTAAGAAATGTTAAACTTCAAGACAAATATATACCTAACCCTCCCACCTACTTATCTTTGTTCTTCCTTTTAATTTACAAATCATATACATTTCTTCCTCTGGAAAAATTAGACTTAATTAAACTCTACCCCTTACTGTTTTCAAAGGTACATACTCAAAACTATTGAGAAATTGTTAACAAGCCCCAGATAAAAATAATTCTAAGGTTAAAAAAAAAAAAAAAGGTTGCAAAACAGCTATTGATAATCACTATATAGCATGGACCACTAAGTAATAGAATCATTAGGATACTGAAAAGAATCTGACTTACAAAAAACTAAGGTCGAGCCATTTGGATGATCTAGGAAACAAGTAAAGAGTTACCATATTATCTTAGTATATGCAGACTATTTGAGCATTTTTATTTGCAATATGGAAAATGGACTTATCTAGTCCTTAGAATAATTATATGTGTTCAAGAAAAGGCTGGATAACCACTTACCAGTGCTCTTTCCAGCTACATTATAAGTACTATAATACTCATCATTAGTACCTCAACAAAAAATGCTATTTGGTGGGTAATGTTGTTTCAAAGACATTTGCCAGAAAACTCTTCTAATACTAAAAGGTTTAGGAACTTCCACTTCTGAAGAGTGGATCTAGATAGTCAAGGAAGTGGAAAATAAACATAATTTGAGATTACAAAAAAACCCTAGAACTTGAGTGCTGCACATGGCACGTAATACATACTCATTAAGTATCAGTTAAGTAAATCAACAAAGGCCAAAATAATGAAGGCAATTAATTTAAAAAGGGTATTGTCCCTACAACAGACAAGATGTCCAAAATCCAGCGAGGAAAGAATAAGAACAGATTCACAGAAAAAGATGAAATTACCTGATAGGTCATTCTCAATCGTAGAATGAATGAATGACTTGATGGTAAACATAAAATATCACGCAAAGAAAATTCATGCTAGACGCTACAAAACTGGAAAAAGGATTTTGTATCCAAAGAAAATTTTAATCTTTACAAGTTCAGATTAATAAGGTAATAAAATTGCAACAGCTGTCAATAAACAATTATAGAACTACACAAACAAAAAAAAAAGGGCCAAGACTATAAGATTACAATGGGGGGGGGGGGTCGACTATCTTCTTTTTTAAAATGTTCTTTTAGAAATCTTGGGCTCCAAGATACCTGGCCATTCTAACTCTGAAAAGCCTTGACTGCCTACTTCTTGACTCTTCCGTTTGTTCAACTTTCATCTTTTACCCTTTTATCATTATATCAGTTTCAACTTGCACCTCTGTACAAATGGCTTCCAAACTGTTACATTTAATTATGAGCTCAATTTCAAATTGCCAATAGTCTACAAGTCATTTCTTTGTGGTTGTCCCAGTTTCCACTCAAATAGAACAAATCTAAAATTGAATATATCTGTTGCCTATTCTTCCCAAGCTATTTCCAAAACTGGCTTTGCTGTTTTCACCCATGTTTTCATCAGTCTCACTATATAACCCAGGCTCAAAATTTTTAGGATCATCTAACTAGTCTCTTTCTCTGGTTCCCACTTCTCTTCCCCAAGCCTGCCAATCAAATTCCATCAATGCCTCCTTCCCCATTCTAATGTCCCAATTTTGCACTTTAATTATTTCTGGACTATTACTTTTTTAAAAGCTCCGCAATCTCACCCCATTTCCAAGTCTCTTTCCATATAACCCATCCTGCTCACAACTACCGGATTCACTTTATTCATTCATCCTGGCATAGTTTTGTTTATAAATATTTAATTACCACAACATACTTAAGAAAATTTAAACTCCTTAGCCTAACAATCAAATCCTCCACACTCTAACCCCAATCTATCCTTCCAACTTTACTTCTGTTCACCTAAACATGTCATAACCAGTCATGTCTCTACCATATTCATGCTATCCTCCACTCCCCCTATGAAACCCTATCTATATCCTATCCATCCATCATAAAGCATACCCTGGCTCTCCCAACATGCTTCTTTTCAATATCCAAGAACATATATTACCTATACCAAGTATTTGAAATTTATCACATATTTTCTCAATCTGTGAAGTGTTTTGCTTTCTTTCTATGTATGTATGTGAGATTAGGTCTTGTTTTCCTAAATAGATTGTAGTTTCAAGGAAAGAGTCCAAAACTTAACGTTTTCTTGTAGCCTCCACATTTCAATAAATCTTTGAGGTTCCCACCAAATGAAGCTGTGCCAAGCGGCTAGAAAATAACTAAAATTTAAAAAGAAAAAAAAAAGCTAATATAACCTCCCTGCGTCATGGAATAAGGAGATCAAAAAGTAAAGTAAAATCAAACATACTATACGGAAATTAGATAAATATTAAAAGAACTAGACTTCTTTTAAGTTATAGAAATCCTTACTAGAAAGATGTGTTCTAATTCCTCCCACTTCTCCCATTCAATAAAGTATTTAAAATTGTGTTAAGGCATCAAACCTCCTTTCTGTTTCTCAATCTGAAGAGCATCCACAATGTGGATGAGACATTTCAAACATACAACTCACAAGACCTATTTCCATAATCAAGGATGCTTAAAGTAATTCTGAAAGCTTTGGGGAGAAAACTTACTAAAATGCATGTAACTTTTAAACAAACTACATGATTTTCCTGATTCAAGATGAAATTTTTATATGGCATTATGTCTCTGAATGGCATTATAGTACTTTGTCACTTAATCTTAACACCATATATTGTGTATATCTAATACTAATTCTGAAGAGGCTGTAAATTACTATCCATATACATACTCCATGAAACTTTAGACAGTGTATGGTTTTGTTTGGATTAAAATAGAATAATTATATACATTTTTGACATTTAGTAAAGTAAAAGAAACTCACAAAAAGAGTTTGCAACTATTACTATTAGAAGAAACTGACAAATCTTAAAAATTCCAATCACTTAATTGTCTATGCTATCAACCACTGAAGGATTTTTAAAATAGGATTTGGGTCTTTCATATCATAAAATCTTCTTTATAATGTTTTAAAAGTGACATTGTTAAGCAAATGGCAGTTTTTATAAAACATCTGTGTGGTACTTTTGTTATCAACAATATTGTAAAAGACATTTATATTGTGATGACCTATCATCAGTTTCCTTGGGTTTTTACACGTAACAGTACAGCAAAAAGTTCCCTCACACTCAAGTCACCTATGACATTTTGACTCAAAAATCACTTCCTTGATATCGATTCTCCATTGTCACTTCCAAGTCTCCAAACTAATTTAGGAGCTTAAATACTAAATGAAAAGTGGTCTTCCCAATAATACTGTCAAACTGATCAGAAAGATTAATATTACTAAGATCGCCATTCAACAACCTATATACGTAGTAATAACTTTGACGTGGTAACTTTATATGATGCCTGCAATAGATGTTTATAAGTATCTTTTGTATAATGATGAACTGAGTCAGAGCTAAAAGTTCAGGGGATAGTTCTAGTTAGTAGTCAGTCAGTGCAATGATTAAAGAGTGCCACGGCATGAGATTTTAGTGGTTACTCCAGGATTCTTCGGGAAAAAGCACCAGATTTTGGTGTTTTCCAATATTATGCATAGCTGCAACTTTCTTTTGCAGATAACTAGACTGAAAGCAAGAGGAAGGAAAACACAACCCCACACAAGCAAAAGAGAACAGTGCCACTCACCAGCAAACAATCAGAATTCACTTCCGATTTGGGATCTCGCAGCAGGTTGTCGATTTTTTCAAACCGAGTCTCAAAACTGTCCCCAGTCGACATGTTGCTGCTACTGTGACAATACCCTCGGTACCAGCACCAGCGGCGGAAAGCAATTTCAACCAACTTCCTCCGTTGGTGGGTTCGCGGCCGCGGGGCGGAGGAGCCGGAACCTCAGGGTCACCAGGTGTGCCCAGTTCCCCCTCCTCCTTCCCCTCACTGAGGGGATCTCGGCTCTCCAGACCCCGGGCCCGGGGCAACTGCGACCCACAGCCGCTCGGACGCCCAAAGTCGCATCCCACCCGGCAGCCCCTCACGACAGCCGACAGTGCCGTCGCCACCAGTCTCGTCGCTCCCGCGAGGTGCTTCAGCCTAGCGGGCCCGAGCCGCCCTCTCCAAGGAGGGTTCCCGGTCCCGAGATGGGCGTGGGGGGGAGAGAAAGAGAAGCAGGGTGGAGACTCCTCTGGGCAGCAGGGGAGGGAAAAGAGGAAAGGCGAAAGCGAAGGGCGGGTGCGGAGCTGTGCCAGCTGCTACCGCCGCCGCTTGGGCCACGGGCCGGGCCCGCTCCGCTCTGAAGTGCTGTAGGCAGTCTAGCCCCGCATCCCCGGCTCCACTTGGCCCGATCCGATGCACCGATCTGTGTTCGCCGAGAGCTGGTCCTCGCGGGATAGCCTCACTTTCCCATTTTGTCCCGTCGCTGCTGGGGCGTCTGCCGCGGTGTCCGGCTGGGCAGGGCGAGGTCGGTGCCCGATGGAGACTTGGAAAGGCTGCAGAGCGAACGGTGAGGAAGAGGGCAGTCGGGTCCCAGCGGCTGCTGATGAGGGATCTTCTGGGAGGCGCTGTGGCCCGGGCTGGGGAAAGGGCAAGTGGCGACGGCGAATGCCTGAGGGGGTGGGACGAGGGGGGCCGTGAGGGACT